TTCCAGAAAAAGATGATCTTGTGCAAATGGATGAATTCCCTAAATATGCTCTCTTATTTTTTTGCATTTTTTTTTCAGTGTTACTTTCTCTTAAAACCACTGGTGTGATAGGCCACAACCAAGTAATCCCCCTTGAAATTCAGGAATATCAGTAAACCAAAAATTAACTTAGCAATACCCATGACTTGTCATAAATGAGCACAGACATTCAGAGAACCAACACTGTAGTTTTAATGTAGGTGATTATATCTGCTATTTTCATGGGGCTAGTCTGGTACTTCACAGGAAACTTCAGGAAAGAAACTGTTATATTCATCATAGTATCGATAGCGCTATGGCAACTATACAATATGTCCTAAATCACTATCCTCTAGAATAGTGAATCGATCCTTTCTCTTACAAAAAGAAAATGAACAAACTTGCTTATGCTTCATAATGGAATGCTACTGATGGTACTAAAGAAAACTGAGATACTAAATTTACTATACATTTTTCCCTTAGTATCTACTATGATAAATATTTGCAAATCTTTATTTTATAGTTGGAAATGTCATATAAAGTAATCTATTCTAAAATTGTGGAGTATGGTTGCATTTTTCGTTAATTTCACTTATCTATTTCTGCACCATCTCTTCTGTTTTTCTCCATCCCTACTCTACTCTCTTTCTGATGCAAGGGATTTGACTCTCTTCTTGCCAAAGGGTCCCTAGAACTAGTGGTCCTCCTTAATAATAACATGATGTTTCTATTGTCTCCCCTTACCTGCAGCTATAGACCTTTCATAGACCAGAAGTGTTGAGGTTAATCATATCTGTCTAACAGCTGTGTGAATGGGAAGGAAGCTCAGTAGGTACTGAGCACCCTTAGAAAAATAAAGAAATTTTAATGTGTATCCTTCTTCAAACTTAACCCAGTTCTTTCCTACCTGATAATCACAGAGCATCAGAAGCAAAATGACAAGGTATCTCTTGCTTTAAAGTTTCACTCTATCAGTCTTATTGTTGGTTTAATTCAAAAAGGTAAAGGGTTATAGAAATGCCATACACAGTGTCAAGATTCATGGAGGGATTTATTTTTTTATTTTTATTTTTATTTTTATTTTTTTTTTCCTTTTTGTCTTTTTTCATGTCTGGCAATGGATCGCACCCCTCAGTGTCGCGCCCGTACCAGACCGGGACCGGCAACAGGATCGCAACCCTCAGTGTCGCGCCCGTACCAGACCGGGACCGGCAACAGGATCGCAACCCTCAGTGCTGCGCCCGCACTTCGATCAGCCAGTGAGCGGGAACCGGTCTATATGTGGGATCCGAACCCTCGGTGGGAGCGCCACCGCGATCCCAAGCGGCGCACTGTAGCAGTGCGCCACCGGGCTGGCCCTATTTATTTTTTTTAAATAGGAGGTTGTTATTTGAGTTTCCATTACACAAAGCAGGTGACATGAAAAAGGGTTGGGCTCTAAGGTCAGAAAGCCTAAATTACCTCTCTTCTGAAGGTTCTTTTTATTTGTTTGAAATGAGGATCCAAAATATATCTAGGTAAGATAGGACAATATTAGACTAGATAGTCTAAAAAGTAATTCTGCTTTATTAAAACTGACAAACATATTTATAATATCTTACTGAGTTTCAGGAAGCAAAGAGAAATCCTAAATTGGGGGAGTTTTTTTTTTTTTTTTTTTTGGGAGGGAAGGTAAAACAAAGACAGTGAGTCATGAAACAATATTAGGGTTGCATTGGGGGAAATAACTGGATTATTTTGAAAAATAATGAGAATTTCAAGCCTTGATCTCTTGCAAAGTGAAGATATTGAATCTGAGACTTATATATTAAGATTTAATGAAAAGTAGACCAGAAAAAAAATCACCTAATATCACAAGGAAAAGTCAGAAATCTTGTCTGCCTCTGATGTGGCTCTGACTTAAAAACAAACAAAGAAACAAAATGAACAAAACAAAACAATTAATAAAAGTAATTACAAAATTATATATTATGATATTGATAGTAAAATTTCTGCTGAGACTTTAACTTAATCTCACTCAGGTCAGGAGCTCAAATCTATACATGTCTTCTGTTCAGAAAACAAAGTGAGAAACTGAAATTCTCCTAAACTGGTAGCACCTCCTGGCACCTTGCAGAAGTAAACACAAATCTTACCTGGAGGAAAGCTTCACAGTTTTTGATCTTTGGGGTTCCCACAAATATAAACCAAATCATACTTCAACCAAATATGAATGCCATGTGTGTTTGTGCATTTCCACCTCCCACCACCACACACAAACACACACACACACACACTCACACGGAAACAAGCTACCATAGGAAAGAGTTGAGAAACAGCAAGTATCTGATTTGGATTCCCACAAACTTCAGATACTGGAATTATCAGAGACAAAATACTTAATGACTATTAATGGAATGCTTAAAAACATGAAAAGATAGAGACAAAAAAATAATAAAGAAAAGGGACAACAGACTATTTTAATTAATTAATAGGCATGTTTGAAAAATAACAATATATTACGTTTAGAAATAAAAGACATAATTAATGAAAAATAACCTACTCAATGGGATTAAGCATAAATAAAGAGAATTAGTGAACTGAGGATAAAACCAAGTAAATTGCCCAGAATACAAAATGTTTTAACAAAGAGTAAACATTATTATAAAAAGAGGGTAAGAGATATGAGGATAGAAAAGAAGTCTAAGATTTAGCTAATTCAGATCTAAACAAATTCAATAGATAATAAGGAAGAAGCAAGATTTGATATGTTGAGAATTTTAAAAGACTAACAGAGATATGTAAATAATCCATTTTAACTAGATACTTGATACATATGAACTAATGAATAGATACAGGAGGCATAAAAACATGAAGTAAGACACTTTAAAAAGAAATCTACAACCAGACACATGATAATAAAACTGCAAAACATCAAAGAAAAAGAAATGACTTTAAAAGTATCTTGTGAATGGTGAAGGTGGGGGTGGTCAGAGCACTTTTAAAAGCAAACTTTTTGACATCACCCACTGAAGCCAGAGGACAAGAGCACAGTGATGTGCCAGTGAATGTTTGAATCTGGCTCTTCAGCAGGAGAGGGTGAGGGAGCCCTGACTTGTAGCATTTCTGACACCCACTGTGTAGACAATCCTAATATGGCTGATGTCAAGCTACCATTATGACATGGGGAATGCAGAGTTGGAGTACTGCTCTTACGGCAGGGCCGGATGGCTTCATCACACCTCTGAATAATCTCTTAATGTCTCAGGTGAAATATCCTCCAATACTGAATTGTATGCCCAGTAAAATTATATTCCATAATTAAAGGTAAAATGAAGACCTTTTCTTAGATAAGGAGTTTACAACCAAGAGACTCTTACACAGAAAAAAAAAATGCAAAAGGATTTAGTTCAGAAAGAAGGAAATCAAATCTGGCAGAAAGCAGAAAGGTCTGAGATAAAGGTCTGAGATAATGAGGAAGAAATAAACTACTGGCTATACTAATAAATCAAAATAAGCAGTATCTACAGAAAATAGCAATGATTATTACTAGGATGCAAATGGAATCAGAAATAAACAAAATTAAATCCAGAAGTCAGTTATTGTTGACTGGTTCATTCAATGGCCATTTGGGAACTAAAATTGACATTTTCTAGACACTACTACAACTAGGTTTCTGGATTCACGTTATGTTCTGGAAACTGTACACCGTTCATGAATCTAGAAGGCTGTAGTGAAACAGGAGTCATTTTCCTGCCTTTTCAGCTCTTTCTACTAGCAAGGAAAGTCATGGTAGCAGATCATTCTCTGCAGTCATTTTTAGAGACTTTCTCCTGCCTCTTGTGAATTGACATGCAGTACTGGGGCCGCTGTGGCTTCTGGATCCTTGTTTAGTATCAGTGGGCAATAGCTCCTCATTAATCGGTTTGTGATTTCTTGGGGAGTCATTTCAAAAGGCTCTAACAAGAACCCACACCATAAGTGCTGCAACAATTTTGTAAGCAACTAACACCGTGTATTAGATTTATTCCTGCCTAAAACACCTGGAATTATTAATGTTTTCTGTACTGTGCTGTGATTTAGAGAGTAAGAAAGAACATGATAGAATTACAGGAAAAACTGGACAAATAGAAAACAAGGTGGGAGAAACAAGTCTAAACCATACAACAACCCCAGAATGAAAAAGGAACTACATTCACAATTTGAAAAACAGAGATGGCCAGATTGGATATAAAAATCAAAATTCAGCTGTATTTTCTCCAGATCATACATAAGGCTTAAGGAAAAGGAAAGATTATAAGAAGAATGAGAAAAGATAGACCAGGCAAATACGACAGTACTTCAAAAAGTTCCTGAAAAATTGAATTAGAAGATAATATGACTGCTTCCATGAACATTTTGAAGATCCCTTGTACTGAGCTAAGCAAACTGTACTAGCTTTAACTGATAATAAGAAAAATAGATTTAAGCACTAAAAGACATTATTAGAGTTAAAAATTGCTTTGGTATGATAAAATGTTCAATTCATTAATAACATACAAAAATTTCAACCTTGCATGCAAGTAATAAACACCCTCATCATGTATAAGGCAACAATTCATAGAACACCCACTAGAAAAAAGAAACCCCACTATTACATTAGGAGATTACAATCTCCTTTCAATTGTTGATGAGTTATTGGGTTGTTCAAATTTTTAATTTCTTTACTTAATTTCCTTAAGTAAAAGTTATGTGAATGTAAGTAAAATATTTTTAAAAAATAATTACAAATTAATAGAAAATAATTATTTTACTTACTTCTATATTTTACAAACTTCTATAAAGTCAATATAAATGCCGCACATATATCTTAGTATTTCCTGTGTCAGAAATCTTGGTTTCAGATCTTGGATATTATGGGATGAAAAGATCCCAGATTTGAATCAATAAACATCCCAATAGAAGTCATTTATTCATTTATTTTAACAAAGCCCATTGGAAAGGTATGAACCAGAACAACATACCTGTGACTTTGCCCAGGGTGAGTGACCTTATAACCTGGAACTCAGCTACTGGGGAGAAATTATAACTGAGTATGAGTTGTTGGTCCATCTGCACAAAAACAGGAAACAAAGGCACATCAGCAGAGGTCTTCAGGTAAAGGACATAAAACTCTCCCATCTGGAAATAGCTTGAAACTGCACACAGAGAAAAGACCCCTCTCTGGGATTTTCTCTCAAGAGAGATTAGAAATGTCTCCTTAATTTTCCCACAGAACATCGAAAATACCCCTTTCTTTCTTCTTTGTGAAATAAGGGCTTTTGTACAAGCATTCTCTCCCTGGGAAATTCCATACAGCTTTTGAGAGGTATTTATCTTCACACTGAGATTTTCTTGCTAAATTCTTTGCTACCAAGAAGCAAACAAATGAAACCTGCTCAGGAACTTGCTGAGCAGAATGAACATTAAATGGGAAGCAGGCACTCTTTTCCTATTTCTTCCCCCTTCTCCCCTGTTGTCCTTAGGGCCACCACTGCCCCTGTTGCTCCTTCATTCTGATCTGGTCTCATTCAGGTGTGGCTGAGGACTTTCCTGAGCAAGGTCTGCAGTTGGACAAAACATTTGGCAGCAGATTCAGGACTAATATCTAATCCTCCCATCTACCCCAGTCATGACTTTCCTTCTGCACTCACTAGGTCAGAATGACCCTCTTCCAGGAAACTCCTGGTCCTGCGGTGGTTTCTCCTATGACAGAAGTCAATGGCTATTAAATTGCACTGTAATGATATTTGTTATTTATTGAACATGTGGTGTGTACGAGACATAGTACTAATTCATCTTTCAAATCCTATTCCTTTCTAGAAAGCTATGAGATAGGTATTATTATCCCTGCCTTAGAGATGGAGAGACTGATGTCACAAAGATCAAAAATTTGGCCAAGACCACACAATATAACAAGAGCAATTTCCCACTGTCACATGGCCCACCCACCACATGACATTATGTATGCTTTATTTGTCACTTCTTTCTAGATATTTGAGTAACTTGTAGATGCATACTGTGTCTTTTTATATCTGGATTTCTAGAATACTCATTCAACAGACATTTCAGTATCTACTGCGTGCCAGATACTGTTTGAAGAGCTCCCAGAGTCCGTCCCCTTCAGAAAGCTTTCCTCCATGATTTGGTTAGGTAGTTGACCCTCTTCTCTGTTTTCATCATGGCTTTTTCTATCTTTAACCTTGCATTTAAGACGCTGCATTATAATGATCTGCTTATCTATGTATCTATGTATCTATCTATGTATCTATCTATGTATCTATCTATGTATCTATGTATCTATGTATCTATGTATCTATCTATCTATCTATCTATCTATCTATGTATCTATGTATCTATGTATCTATGTATCTATGTATCTATGTATCTATGTATCTATGTATCTATGTATCTATGTATCTATGTATCTATGTATCTATGTATCTATGTATCTATGTATCTATGTATCTATGTATCTATGTATCTATGTATCTATGTATCTATGTATCTATGTATCTATGTATCTATGTATCTATGTATCTATGTATCTATGTATCTATGTATCTATGTATCTATGTATCTATGTATCTATGTATCTATGTATCTATGTATCTATGTACCCACTAAACTGTTGATTCTTTGAGGACACAGTTCACATCTTACACATCTTATCTATATATGTTTTCTGTAGGGTCTAGCATAGAAAATGTCAAAGTTCTCTGAGTGAATAAATGAACATTCTGTATTGTTTCCACTTCTCACTTGTGGGCTGTGAAAACAGAGTCCATCAAAACACCCGGATGTCTAGTTACAACATAAGGTCTTTGGTACATTTGATCCCCATCCATATCTCTTTAGTGCTCATGAGTTCATGTTTAGCCCTTGCCCTGAGGGAGTTTTCTTCCTGACCTACTGCAGAGCTTCTCACCTGCCTCCTCTTATTCTTTCTTTGGAACGGCCCCTTCCAGCAGGGGGCAGTATGCTTCCCCTCATGCTTTGTTGCCCAAGTAGGAGACGGGGCTAAAGTGGATGGAAATTTTTCACTAAGTTGAGAAAAGTAACAGGATTCTTAGAACAGGAGGTTGAGATGAGATTCCTCTAGCTTCTGCCCTACCTCCTCCCCATGCTCCATAAGGTCAGCTTCCATCTGCAAGCAATTTCCTGAACATTTACAGTCCTCGAATGTCATACAAAGAAGAGTGAATTGTTCAAATACAGGAGTCATTCCTGTCCTGCTGTTTTGCTTTGTGGGAACTTGCTTGCTCCTTAGCACTTTAACCAGATGACTAATGACAGAGAGAAGGAGGTAAGTGACACTCAATTAAAGAGGTTTTTAGCAAAACGAGCATTTGTATAGGTTTGTAGAGGAAGGTGAGACGACTCAAAGAAGACCTGAGGCCGCTTGAGGATGGGTCCAGCCCTGGCACAGGGGGACCGCACCTGCACACTAGCACTGGTTCAGGTATTGAATTACCTATTTGAAAAACTGAGTGAATGCTTAGGGCAAAAGCAAAATAAAGGGAGGTGGGTAACCACAAATGTTTCTTTTTAGAACCTTATTCTGTACGATATGAGTTAGACAATCATTGGAGTAGTTAATGAAAAATGCACTGTTTTGTTTAGACTTCCTTATGCCTAATTAATGGTTTAGTATTGCTTTTATCTTTAATTATAATTGTGAGGTTTGCAATCTGGCCTAGAGAAGCTTTGCTGACCTCAGAATATCTGGTGACCTCATCAAGTCATTAAATGGGATGAGAAAAGGGATGAAAATGGAAGAAACAATTTTTGAGAAAGCCCTAGATGTCAGGCTCTATGCTTGGTCCTTTAGGTAGGTATGTTCTTTCATATAATATTTACCAGAACTGACTGAGCTTAGTTTCATTCATCCTTTTAGATAAATAGATAGATAGATAGATAGATAGATAGATAGATAGATAGATAGATAGATTGATTTAGGATACAGTGAGTGGATAATCTACATAGAAAAAAAAGGGAAATATCCAGGTAAATGGAAAATTGAAGCAGGAAGATTTAGAGCAAATTTTAGAGTCAAAATAATGGGAAAGTTATGGTTTAAAAGTAAAAGCCTAGCCATTGTAGCCTGTGTAGAATAATCAGCTACTGGAAAATATCCTACGGATGAATATCAGGAAAATACATATATATATATAGACTGAAGCTCAAAGAGGTGAGTAACTTGTCTATGATCCTATATCATCTAAGTAACAGAGCATGAATTCACACCCAAGTTTCCCTTTCTCTAGGGATGCCTCTCTCAGCCTCAGGATCTTTATCTCTGAAAGGAAGGAATTAACTGGTTGGCTTCAAAAAGGTCTGGCCCTACCTTCCTTAAGAAGATTAGCATTGTGCTGGCATTTGGTTAAACTGGTTTAACCTATTTAACGTTATCAATGCACTATAAATAAGGACGCTTATTTACAATATTTAATTATAAATAATTTATAATAAGTGAAGTTCACCTCCACCACCAGGGCATTTTTGGAGGCACCTGAGCCTTATAAAACACTAGCCAAATTCCAGTTCTCAAATTATCACCATGAGTTCTTGCTACTGACTGCAGGCCCAGGCCCCGAGGTCTCTTTCCTATGGTCACAAAGAACAGAGAAGAGTAGAATTTAGCAATTCAGGGCCAGGGGTTGTGGGGGAATCTATTCTTTGGGACGATTCTGGCTGTATGGGTATGAGTACAGTGATATCTGCCTGTCCTCCCTTTCTAACAGGTTCTGAGTAGTGCAGGAGACACTGCTCCACAGGACTTAGGGGCAGGACTGGGGATGCAGATGTATCCTGCCCTTTTATGTTTTCACTGAGTAGTTTGTTCTATGGGGAGAAAGAGGAAGAGATCTAGATTGGGTGAGGGGAGTGGGAGAATCAGGGAGGCAAGTGTGCAATGTTACTATGTCAATAAACTGATTAAATGTTAAAAACAAAGAGACTACCTCTAGTTCTTTCTTCTCCCTTTAGCACTGTGGAGGTAGTATGTTCTCAATATGTGCTTATCACTGGCAATACATTGACTGGTGGGAATTCATTAGATGGAAGAGAGAAGAAAATACCTCTTATTGCTCTCCCGCTATCATATTTATATGTTTCATTTGTGGAAAAGAAGTCAAGAACTATAAAGAAGGAAGAAAAGGGAGCCATATGTACGAATGCCACCAGAATGTCACCCAGCTGTCCCACTGGCACCTGAATCAAAACATATTCAAACAAGAAGTTGTTATTCCCATTCCTTCCATCTCCCAATTTGGCCACAACCTAAACTTGCTCAGAAGCCTTCTCCCACCCTCACCCCTCTACTCTGCTTATTTCAGGAGTAAATGTTAGAGTAAGCCAATTAAATCCTGATCAACCGGGAATTGTTATTTGTACCATATATTTGACAATCATTCCCAAACTTCCATCTAATTGAGGTAACCAATGATCAGTGTTGACTACTCTCACATTCCATATCCCAAAGGTCACCTAGTGCTACTGATGTTAATCCTAAGACATCTCCCAAATCCTTCTTGCCATGGCTGCCCACACTGCACTAGCTGAGGCCTCATGATCCCCTCCTGCCTGGTCTCTGCTGCAGGTCTCATCACTCCCAAATACATCTTTCCAAACAGTGATCACAGGGAACCCCTGAAAGTGGAAATCTGACCATGGTACCCCCTTACTTAAAATCCAGTGCATTCCCTTCCCCTCTCCACAAGACCAATTCTGCCTTCTCCACCTAGTACCTTAGGCCCTGTGTAAATCATCCATTTAGTTCACACATATTTATTGAATGCCTACTGCATGTTAGGCACTGCTTGATAAAGGGGGCTTCTGTAGTAATGAAAGTGGTTAAAAATCCCTCTTCTCATGAAACTTCATTCTAGAGAAGGAAGACAGGACAGAAAATTTGATAAGTAAGTAAAGTTTATCGTATGTCACATAGTGTTAAGTTCTAGGAGGAAAAAAAATAAAGCAGGTAAGGGTCATGGGGAGTGTAGGGCTGAAGTCAAGGAGATAGATTGCTGCATTAAATAACGATGATCAGAGAGGGTCTCATTGAGAACGACATTTTGAGTCATTCAAGTCCTGAAACAAGTATAAGAACTAGGCATGCAGTTACATGGGGAATAGCATTCTCAGCAAAGCAAACTCACTCTGTGTGAGTTTAAGGGCTCTGGAAATATCCAGCTACAGAGGGAATGCAGTAGATGAGGTTAGAGAAGTAACTGTGGGAAGGGAGCAGGGATGTCAGATCGTGGAGATCCTGTTAAATCACAGCAAGGTCTTTGGCTTTTACTATGTGTGAGAAGGGAAACCACCAGCAGGGTTTGGAGAAAAGAGTACCACGATTTGACTCTTTTAATGGGACCACTCCGGTGTCTGTGCTGAGAACAGAGAGCAGGAGAATAAAAAGATAAGCAAAGGTATGTCAATTAAGAGGCAACTGTAAACAGTAATAATCCATGGAAAGAATGAGGGTGGCTTGGGGCAAAGTAGAAGCCGTTGATAAACAGGAAGTGGTATGTGAGAGAAAAAGAGACATCAGAGACAATGCCACAATTTTGATACTAAGCAGCTAGAAGAATGGAGCTGCCAGTAACTGAGATACGGAAGGTTATGAGGGATAAGGCGGTTTGGGGAAATTCTCAGTAATTGAGTTTTAAGTGTTTATTTAAATAACATTTAAATTAAGATACCTAACAAACATCCAAATAGAAAAGTCAAGTAGGCTTATAAGATATAAGGTGTGGAATTCATGGAGAGGATTAGAGTTAGATATATGTTTGGGATTGATTCATCAGTATACACATGACATTTAAAAATATGAGATTGAATGAGATGAGCCATGGAGTGAATGTAGATACAGAACAGAAGGAGTCTGAAGATGGAGTTCTGGGGTGCTCCAATGGGTAGAGTTTGGAGAGATAAGGGGTACCAAAAAAGAGGCAGGAACGAGCAACAACAGAGGCAGAAAGATCAACAGGCGAGAGTGGTATCCTGCAAGCAAACAAGAGTCAAGTCGGGTCTCAAGAGCAGAAAGCAATCACTGTGTCAATAACCACTGAGAGGACAAGTAAGGGTAAGACTCAGACACGAGCCCTGGATTTTATAAGGTAAGGCCATCAGTGTCTGAGAAGTACAATTTTGCTGCAGCACAGAGACAAAATCATGTTGATGTGGGTTTAGGATAAAGGAAGGGACAATTTGGAGATCAAGTATATACACAACATTTCCAAGGATTTTCAGAACAAAATGAAAGAGAAAATGAGACAGGATATGAAATCAGGTAAGAGAGAGATTTTTCTCTTTTGACCCAGAGGGGTCTTTGTTTGTTGTTGTGTGGTGTTTTTTATGAATGTGTGTAATAATTGCTCATTATATGTTTTGCAGAGTCATTTGGTAAAGCTGAAAAACTGGGGGAAAGACAGGCAGAGAGAATGTCGGAGTGATGTTCTTCAGCAGGGTATGAGATCTGGCCCACAGGTAGGAAGGGAGTAGGTCAAGCTATGAACTATTCACATTCAGCAGCAGGAAGAATAGAGAGTAGAAGGACACTGACGCAGGTAGGGCACCCACATGTTTACGAGTGTGTAAATATTCTCCTCTGAATGCCGCAATTTTCACAAGAAAGATGAAAGCAACATCATCCACTGAGAGTGAAGAGAGGGTTGCAATTGTTGGAAGTATAAAAGGAGAGAGAAGGAAGTTTATAGTGGCCATCAAGGAGAGCAAGAGAGTGGACAAATTGAAAAAAACTACGGGGTGATTCTTGTGCAGAGTTAAGGGCTCACTTGAGGTCATGATTCTAAAGGAGAAGATCTGGATTCTGCCTGTTCTCAATTGTGATCTGCCATCACCTGCTACCTGCCTTTTGTCCTGAGACCACTGGGGCTTCCTAGAATGTCTGCCACACACTGTGCTCTTTCAGACAGCTTTGCATGTGTTCACATGGACCCCCTTCCTAAACACTGTCCTCTCCCTTCTCCACCTAGCCAACTCCTACTCCTCTTCAGGACTCAGTTTACTCCTAAGTTCTTCCAGGAAGTAAGTACTGATACCTAGATGCAACCTATACTCTCCTCAGTGCTCCCGTACCACCTGTGCACACTTCCCCCAGAGCCCTTGCCACCGCCCCTTTACCTGTGCATCTTCCTCTCTACAGTCCAGTTCAGGGGTTATCAAGCTTGAGCAGACATTAAAATCTCCTGCTGCTTTCTCTTCTCCAATAGTTTTTGATTAAGTGGTGTGGGACCCAAGAATTTGCATTTTTAACAAGGTCCCAGGAGATGCTAATGCTAGTGGGAAGTCAGGAGCAAATCTTTAGAACCACTATTCTAGTTCTTCAAAGATGAGGGTCAAGTGTGACTTACATCTATATTTTCAGCATTTGGCTCTACAGTTCACTTTGGGTAGAAGCTCACAGAAGTTTGATCAAACAGCCAAGGAGCATTGGCTGAGTGGGAGGAAGGAAAGGAAGGTACCTGTACAGTAAGCTCTCTCCCTTCTCGGTTAATCTTCAAGTGGTGCATCCTTCTGTTGGCAAAATTCTCTACATCAATGGTGAATATGTGGGTTTCTTCCTTGCTTAGCTGATAGCGAACCTGTAAGCTTCCTTGAAAGAACAACATTAGAGATTAGAATTTAAAATATACCATAAAATGTGAAGATATGATTAGATTGTCTTTTAATTGATCATTATCGTTTTCTAGGGACCAATACTCAATCTTTTCATCATTCATATTTTTAAAATGTATTGTATATGTTCATCAAAGTCCACATAGAAAATTCTGTGTATAGCTGCAAAATTAAAGTTAGAGAGAGAGAGAGAGAGAGAGAGAGAGAGAGAGAGAGAGAGAGAGAGAGAGAGAGTGTGTGTGTGTGTGTGTGTGTGTGTGTGTGTGGTCTTATCAGAAACCAAAATGACAGTTCTGAAAATAAAACATCTATTTTGTAATTGGACTGTGAAACTTTAATAAGGTAGAGTTAAGATCTTTTCTATTCTTTCTCAATTCCTAACACTTTCTACAACTCTCTTTCTAATTGCCATCTCCCTTTTAGATTTAAGCAAGAGAAAAAGAACTCCATTCTGTCATTGCCCATTGATGTATAATGCCCCTGACTGGAGTGTCTTGTGGTTAGGGGACAGTGACTCACTTTAACCCTTTATGGCCCATTGGGACATTCAAATTTCATTAGAACAGTTTTTTTTTTTTTTCAAATAGCTGTTCTCTATCCATTGCAGATCAGGAAATCAATTTCTTGGGTCTCTTTCAGCATTTCTTACAAAATGGAACAGAACTGAAAAGGAAATATGAGTAGCCCAGGAGACATATTAAGGATAGAAGTATATCAGCTGTGTGTGTGTGTGTGTGTGTGTGTGTGTGTGTGTGCGCACGCAAGAGAGAGAGAGAGAGAGAGAGAGAGAAAGGAGAATATACTAGGTCATAATCCAAAACGGTAGCTCTAGTGTGGATCATATTGAAAGCCATTGTATATGAGAAAAGTGCCATAGGGAGCAGACATTTACTGAGTGGCTACTTTATCTTTGGCACTGTGACTTTTAATCCTTTCCCTGTAATCCCTGGCTGAGAGACTTGAGCTGAGTAGCCCATACCACTTTTCTTCTTTTCCATTCTGCATCAGTCATCTGGTCTAATGTCATTGCAATCCATGCACACCAGATGACAAAACCTCTTCCCTGGATGTACAAGGTATCTCAAAAAGTTCGTGGAAAAATAGAATGAAAAGATAGTGCAATCTTTCAATGAACTTTTTGAAGTACCCTTGTATGTACAGGCAGAAAACAATTAGAGGTGAGGGATACTGTCATAAGCTGATGGCCATTAGGGAAAAAGGAACATTCAGTCAAATTTGAGCCAAGAAGTATTAAGGTGACTCAACGTTTCTCATGCTCCCCCTCAAAAAAATCTCTCTGACCTTCCTTTGCCCTCCCAATTTTCTTATGCTGCCAATACTGAAAAGACAAGAGGCTTGTGAGTAACCAAGCCAGCTTGTGCATGGCTGATTCTCAGTCCTCACCCAAGTATTTGGATTCTTTTGCTCATGGAATGTCAGAATACATACATGTGAAATAAGATCGGAAGATAACCTAAACAGAATATGAAAAAATATTTGGGGGGCTATAACAACATTACCCAGCACAATCAGCCAAAACAAGAAGCTCTCTCCACATCTAATCCTTGCTTTCCTGGTTTGTTCTCTTTTTGGTTCTGACTATTTCAGATTTCCAATTTTTAGTATTATTTTTTCTTATTTTATCACAAAATTAATCATAGCTTCCTAGCAGCAGCATGATTTGTGCTGAGAGGAGTTGGGCAGGGTTGGTAGTGCCATGTGCAGACATGGGGCAAGGCGACTCCACCTGCCTATGGTAGGAAAGGGCCTATCTCGGGCACTCATGGGCTGTTGGGCAGCATGCTCTTCCAAGCTCCTTCTAATTCTAAGAACCTAGGTGTTTTAATAATTAATTCAACCTAGTAAAGTAAATCAGCGAGTGATAATTAAGTGCCAGGCATGGTGATAAATGCCACATTCTAAAGCTATTTGTACTTTTCCCATGATACTGTGTAATTCACACTCACATACATGTTTTTTATGTATTTTTCTATTTTAGACATCACTTGTGTTTTATATATCTTTACTAACACCTGCCTTGCCATCGTAACAGGTACCAATAATCTCAACAGAGAAGCTTTTAAGAAGCTTCTGAAGCTTCCCCAACATCCCAGTTTATGATAAAGCACCTCCACTAGTTCTTCTAGAAATATTTCTCTCATCCTCTTAGAATTTTTGATGCAATCAATACCTCTTAAAGAACCCCAGCGTGATATCCTGAAACCTCTCACTAACTCATTTTCACATGACTTCGAGGAAGAGAAAATTGAATCTATAACTTTTCAAAATAAGTTTGACACCACAAAAGGGTGACTTCCAGTCCTCTGTGAGGCATGGGGGTGAGATGAAGGAGGGTCTGGGGTCAGGGCTGGGGGCGCATTAATTACCCTAGCTTCTTCTTTAGCTACTTGGTTGTGGAGCTAAGAGGCATTCCTACTCCTCCAGCTGTAGGCACTGGTGACTCAGCAGATTACCCTCAGCTTCTTGCCTTGTGTTGCATGTCTGCTTTTCTCTGCAGAACCTGGGACCCAGAGCTATTCCCATCCTCAGGGCCTCCTCTCCCTTCTCTGCTTGCTTCATCTATGCACTTCCATTTCCTCCCTGGCCTCTGATCCTCACCTTCTTCCACAGGCTTACCCCAGTGGTAAACATTGCAGGTTTATAATCCCATAAACAGTGGACTGACAGAGGAAAGGTGCTGTGTATAAATCCAATAAACTAGAAACTGGGCTGACTATACTAGCCAAGAGTGTGCTGTGATTGCTCTAACACATTGTAATGCATTCCTATCTAGTCTTTTTTTTTTTTTTTTTTATTCCTGCTATATTAACATTGCTACATTATAAAGGGCACATGTCATTTTGTGTATGCATACGAACAAAGATGAAGTATTAACAATGTGGAAATTAAAAATAAAACTGATTTTAGGCCCTCTTTCCAAATATGCTTGTGGAAAAAAACATATTTATAATAGGATGACCTTTTGTCACCAGTAAGTACCCTCTCTATTTTTTAAGGGTCCTATTAATGTTGGAGCAGTCAAGTTATATACAGGTTCTGCTGCTGCTGCTGCTGCTAATTATTCTCCTTCTCTTTCACTTTCTTCTTCTTCCAGTGTCTTCAGACAAAATTCCTGTCATTACTCTTAGAATTAAGCCATAGGTATTATCAATACCATTAAATATATATATATATATGTATGAACACAATGATGAGGAATCTTCTTCAAAGAGGGGGCAGTCACATCCTGACAACTTGCTCGTCACTTTCTGGACAGAGTTAAACCCCTTGGATTAACACACATATTTCATCATGATTGAGTTTCTGTTTATCAACCCAGTTTCACCTGGAATACTTTTTATTTTTTTAATTTTCTCCATTTTACAAGTAAAAAATTGTTGGGAAGTGAATAACTTCATATTTCTTAGTAAGTTATGGAGTCAGATTTAGAAATTAACTCTAGTTGGTTCCAAACAGCACAGGTTTCCCATGCACAATGACCCCAAGTGATAATCTCTGCCCAGAATGCCCTTCCATGACAACCCTTCTCATTAAGTTCATTCCCTCCCATCCTTTAGAATTCAGCGTGATGTTACCTCTCCCAGGAAGCCTTCCCTGGCTTCTCTAAGACGCCCTCCTTTGCTCCTACAGTCCCCGTAATCACCTTTATCCTAGCATGTACTGGGTTGCGTTGTCTATTACTTTCTTATCCCCCCCACAAATCTGTAAACTCCTTTGGGATCAAGACATATATTACCCATCCTTGGGTTCCCAGTGCCTGGTCCATGGTAAATAATCAGTAAATACCGAAGGAAGGAGGCAAGGAAGGAAGGAAAGAAGGGAGAAAGGGACAAAATAATTCAATGGAGTTTAGAAATATTTTATACTTAAAGCAGTAACTTCTCTAAAATAGCACAACTCTAAGTGGTACTTATTTTCAGTAAGTCCAGAGGCCAGTTGTTCTTAGATACTGCCTCACCCTCGTGTTTATTGGCCTGTTATTGGGTTTACATCTATGTGAAAATTGCGAAGGATTTTCCATGACAAAGGAATTTGATAATTCCGGTGGCCCAAGGTAAGCAGTATCTGCACTGAGTTAGCTTCCTTCCCACCTGGGTCTGAGGCTGTCTCAGAAAATTCATGCAGATTTGAACTCCCACCAACTTCTTTGAACCTTCTGCCTCTTGCCAGTGTTTAGCATTCCAGCTTTTTTAAAAAATATACTTCTGGTTTTGCCTTATATGCTGAGTCTGGTGGTTTTCAAATTTGTTTTGAATTGAAACACTTTACTCACATGAGATCTACAATGAAGAGTATTATAAAAAAAAAAAAAAAAAACAGAAAAATGTGGAGCTACTTGAGTTAAAGAGGGGGTGGGGGCCTATAGAGAACCTCCCACCACCATTGTCCTCTGTTCCTTTACCCCATTCCCACCCCACAAACTCATTTGGCTTCCTTGGTCTCCCGGGAACACAGTGAAAAACACATGTCCCTTCAGAGAGATAACTCGCCCTAATGGAATTTGGTCACAAACAGTAGAGCCCGGCAGGCTCTTATATCATTCATTTGAGGCCCACAAGGCACAGGCCAGAGAACAGCCCCTCTCCGCAGGCCTGACCCTTGTGAGCTCACACTCCAATGTCCAGAGGTCAGATCTGACAATCTTATGATGCAGTTTGGCTAGGCTTTAAGTTGATCAATGTTGGACTCTCTGCACACATTGAAGCAGGTATAACTGGCTCAGAAAAGGACCTTGCAGGCTAAAGAGAAACTATGCTCACCTTGGGACATGTTGGACCTGTTTTCAAAGCTACTTCACAAAGGATATTGTAGCAAGAATTGCATGATTTATACCCTGCTTGACAATCAGCTACAGAGAAGAATGCAAAATGATGGGCTAGAAACTTAGAAATGAAAAGTCCCAATAACATCTAGCTCAGCATCTTCTGGTCAGACTTATGGTAAAGATTCTTGTAC